AACAAAATCAACACCCTAATGGAGACCAGACTATAAAATTAACAGGTCTTGGAGGGTGGAGATAGACTTTGCCAAACACTTTCATTTACCATTTTCATTTTGTCTGTGGAAAATCATACTGGATCACACAGCGCAGATGCTTCAAGTTTTAAGATTATAGAGGAATTGTTTTTTCTAAGTCATCTCTTTAACACATTTGTTTCTTTCTTTGTTGCAAATAATACAATTTGAATGTCAAAACCACAACAATCTACAAATCGTTTAATAAGCTGTATATCTCTTATAATTTTTTTTTAAATTGCTGAAGGAATATTATATATAATAAGAAAAACTATGGAACAATCATAATATTCCATAAAATAACAAAAGGAGAATCTGGACAAAGTAGTCACCAGACTACATTATACTGAGATTTGGATAGGGGGCTTTTTTTATTATTAATAAGAGAACTTTACTTTTTATATTTTACAATTGCTTTGAGTTGCATTTATCAGAGATTCTTGAAGCCTAAGAAAGTAGTGCAAATAATACATGTTTGTTAGCATAAGAACTGAACACTATAAAGTTGGTCATAGCAATGAAATTATTGAAATTGCTTGAGCTCCACTCACTGATGAGTGAAAGCATCTCAAAGAAAGCATGCCCTGGGTTAAAAAAAAAAACCCTCAAAACAAGCTCATGACTAATGACACAGCTCATGTTCTCAACCCAGAAATGACTGGCCTGTAGTTTAAATGTAAAGTAAATGTGGAGCTGAAGCCTTATTTCTAATCTTGAATACAGTAGGAAATTATTCAAACTCCTGCCAGTTGTTTCATTTTACTTTATTTTTTGCCATCTGTGCCTTTGTTTCCTATTATAAATACAGTTATATAGTTAGTTTTTTTTTTTTTTTCAAAAACCACCCCACTAAGTTGAAACATGTGAAAAATTAAATCCATTTAATCACTTATTGAGTATTTAGCTTCTTTATCTTTTAATCCTTGCTTATGTTCCAGCGTAAACTGGTGCCATGACTGCTGCCCCAGGTTTCCTGTTTCAAGGTGGCTCCATTCTTTTGCCATTGTCCACTGTTAACTGTTTCCTGTGAAATTTGGAAGTTTAGGGAAGAAAAACTGAGAGAGTAGGAGCCAGCAGCACTGAAAGTAGTAAACTGCAAGTGCTGGGGTAGGAATTTTAACAAATAGTGTACTAGGGAATATTTATTGTATTGTGCTCAATGTGTTAAACTAAAAAAATGCTAATTGAGAAGAAGGTAAAAAAACTTTGAAAGCATAACCCAAGTTGCTCCATTAAGGTAAAAACATTTCTTCATGACCCCTACAGGCAACAGGATAATTCCCTGCATTAACATTTTATTATTTATTACTGTTAGCCATTTATATTTGATGTTATTAGACTGAAACTAAAACAAAAGGCTTTTTCACATTTTCATAGCTCTAAAAGTGAAGAGCGGCTTATGTATGCAAAGGATAAACCTTTTTTAGTTGTAAGAAGTGCCCTTATATCATTCCAACGACCTTAAATGGACTGATTTTTCCATAAGGGCTCATATTTACCTTATATATAGTCATACAAGGTAATCATAATCCCCCATTAACTGACTCCTCTCAAGGGTGAATACATTCAATGTAGTAAATCTGGGCCCATTCACAATCTGTGAATAGGGGAGAGTCTGATCCATCACAGGATTCTTTCCTCCATTCACAAATTGTGTTATGGGCAGTGTTATCAATAAAAGAACTTTTCTCAATGGTCTGATAATGGGTCCAAGGATTTCATCCTGATACCTAATAGCAGTCAGAGTGACATTATCTAGCCTGTAGAGGTCTGTGCGTCCATCCATGGATATGCCTCCCCAGACCATCACTGACCCACCACCAAAACAGTCATGTTGAATGATGTTACAGGCAGCATAACCATCTCCACGGCTTCTCCAGACCCTTTCACATCTGTCACATGTGCTCAGGGTGAACCTACTTTCATCTGTGAAAAGCACAGGGCGCCAGTGGCAGACCTGCCAATTCTGGTGTTCAATGGCAAATGCCAATCGAGCTCTTTGGTGCCCTTTGTTCCTTTAATTTTTTTGAGCAGTGTATATATATGAAAGTACTATAAGATCACAATCCCTTTATTAACCAGGTGCAGACCCTGTACCAGTTTGTATTACTCGCTGAAATAGAACCCGGTGTTGTCAATGTTGATGGGGGAATTCCTCCCATGGAGCTATTGTGTTCTCCTGGCCGGGGTGAGCCGTCCCACTAGAAGAACACAGTGATTACTGCTGGCAGCTATAATAGCCACTAGCAATATTCATATGTAAAATCCGGTTGTACTCAAGTTGATCAACTTGGGCACATTTGGCCTGCCCAAACATGGTTTGAATGTCGGCCAATCCCTGCTGCACATCACTTGAAATAGCTTTTCTATCCTCCTCAAAAGACACTCTATAGACTCTCACATGTAATGCCAACCACAAAGGAGTCTTTTAAAAGTGAAAACCAATATGGCCCATGAAAAAATGTGTGATAATCTTTATACATTTTACATTCAAAATAACAAAAACACTGTTAATATAATGTAAGAGATAAGATTATCAGTGGAAAGTGTGTTACAGGACATGGGGGACTATACTTTGTACCCTGTACAAAGACTCATTTTGGGGTGATTCAACCCTCTGAATTCTCTATCAAATAACGTAGTTCATTCAATTTAGAACAAACCATTGGTGTTTTCCATGGTTATTCAAGGGATATAATGACTAAGTTACTGTTTAATTAGAAAAAAAGAATGTAAAATCTTGCTCAAGTAAAGCAGCTTTTGATCTAAATACTGAATAGACCTTCCTATGGATCCATTGTTTTTATGCACTTAATTTCTAAATTCCTTCTTTCCATGTGACCAGTCCAAGTTTAATCATTAGGAATTTTGAAATAAATACTATACTGGCAGCAGCTGCAAAGAAAGAATTTCACAATATCCAATTAGTCTATACAGCATACAACTGCTCATTTCCCAGCAGAGTTACCTTAACAAGATTGAATAGGTGCCCATTGTGTTATTTTTTGGCAGACAAACTTTGCTCTGAGTAAGATCAGTTTATCTACTTTTCTACTTAAAAAGAAGTGGTAAATAGCATGCAACTTTAAATTGCACTTAGTAAGCCTGCTTTGCATGTAAGTATTTAATAAAAACTTAAACATAGACATTAAATGAAACTGCAAACACTCTCATCTTAGGTCTTCTAGTGTGCAAGGCCAGGTCAAAGTGTATGTAAACCTGCAGCTCATTGTACCATGAGCGGGAGTGATGACATCTCAGCCCGGTCAATGAAAGTGGTTGGTGATCAAGAGCCAGAAGCTAGCTGCCCATCAAGAAACCTCATCGCTGGACTGAAGGTGAGTATAGTTCCACTTTAAACAAGTCCTTAAAGTAAACCTGACTCAATTAGGAATATCTTGAAAAATGCATACGCATAGGCTATTTTCAGTACAAACCATATCAGAACAGTAATTAGGTCTAGAACTATAGGAAGCTGAACATATATGCAAATCTCAACTTTTCCTATAAGGCATGAACTTACTCATGCTTCTTTGAAATCTCTCTACTGGCCAATGTCCTACAATTTAAAGCGACTCTGTTGCTTAAACAACATAGCCAGTACAAGAGCTACCTGTAAAGAAGAAGGTAAATATTGACTTTTCATGCTGCCCACATTGCTGAACGCTGATCAGATGAGGAGAAATTGTTCCTCAATGTCTCTACAGAAACCAACACTTCTGAGAGTGATGAACACGTGTGTCCATGCTGTTCTCAGTAATTCCTTCTGCCAACCCCTGCATCACTACTGTGTCATGTAGAAACATACAGGGACAGCAGGAGGAAACACTGAGGACACAGTGCAGAAAAAGGAGGCTTCTACACGTTTTCTGCACCACAGGTGACCACACTGCCCTTGTGATTTGCATACAGATGGCAATGTATTTTTAATGCCATCCACAAATGCTGTGTGTTTGCGGGCACCAAATCATATGGTACTGCAGTACCATGCGGTTTGGTGCAATGTGTTTCTAAAATAGTGCAATCCCTACTATTCCCATGGTCCAATGCATTATGCAGCATGTCAAAAGCACCACACAGCAATGAATAGGAATCGCATGGGAATGGTCTGAAGAATGAAAAAAAACAGAAGAGGGCACAGGAAATCGACACTTTAAGACTGTTTCTGAACAGATTTCGAAGGACGATTTCTCCTTATCAGATTTACCTTAAAGAGTTATCTTCTTCTTTGCTTGTGACTCATGTGTTGGCATTTTTGTTTGAGTGACAAAATCGCTTTAAATCTGGACATAGAAAGATTGAGATTCGGTCTATCTATGAGCCGGTTGGTTGTACTGAAGTCGATTCATCAATTCACTTCAGTACAACCAGGCTGTCGGATTGTTTTGCATGCGACCACTGCCGGTGGCTATAGCAGCCATCAGTGATCATTATGTTCTGCTGGAGGGGAGCACTGCAGGTGCGATTCCTCCATCAGCACTGACAGTGCTCTAGTCTACCTCAATTAAAAATAATGGATTACTTCTGTTGTCAGTTGGTGCAAATAATCTGCAAAATGTTTGATAAAATAAACATCAGAAGTTTTTTATAAATGGATAAAGTTATTTGTATAATAGGTTTTGCCCTGGTGAACTGATCTTTCTTGAAATATTGTAAAAACATTGTTCAAGACAGCTTTATAAAGAAGTAGGAATATACTTTTCAAAGCAAAATAGTGAATTAGATATTATGATAAATAGGCCTCAATAAATAAATGCAGGCTTGTGAAATAAAGTAATGCAAAAACAATAATGACATGGAAAGTGCAGTAACCAGATTCCACTCTGCTGAAGTCCGATCCATACAAATTACTTTGGAGTGGTTTCTATAGGTTACTCTGATTTGAACTCGGCTTTTTCCCTTTTGAAAAAGTCAAACAGAAATGTAATGATTTGCTTTACCTGGCATGCTGCGGTATCTGCATTGCCCAGTCATCGGGTCATATTCCTGGTTATCATCAGCACAAAGGCAGAGGAATGAGCCTTCTACATTTTCACATCGGGCCTCACCACAGACTCCACTCAGCATTTCACATTCATTTACATCTGGAAAATGGAGAATTGTTATAAGGATACATTCCTTCTTACTGACAGCTCTTCACTGAACTGCTCTCTTTGTGCCAGCAAAGTTGCTGGCACAAGCAAACCCCCATGTGCACAATTAAATCCTATAGCTGGTGAGCTGAATAAAATAAATACTAGAGTTTCCTGACTGTGGAGAAATGCTTAATGTGCACTGGTGGTGCTAAAAGTATCAATCCAGGAAAGTATGCTGTATGTCAAAGCAAAATTCTCAAACCTCCAGCACGTAGGGCCATTTCCTTTGCCCGATCCCTATTCACAATGAAATGCCAGACATACAGCTAAATACATTTTCAACTGCCAAAATATTCATAATTAATTAAGCCACTTCTAAGGTTCACACATCCATGCCGCTTTATATGACTAGAAACCACTATTTAGAATCTACAGCTTTTTGTGTCGTCTTCATACCTCCAACCCACTCTCTGAACACTCTCTGAACACCATCATCTTAGGAAGACTCTTCCTGTTCTCTTCGAACAGGTGAAGAAACCTTCATTCATGTCAATGTGTAATAGAAACCCTCAAGAGTTGGTTCTGGCCAGCTTTAAAAAAGTCCTGGATTCTTTCCTAGATACACAGAATATAAAAGTTTTTTTTTTAATGGTTGAACTGGGTGGACTTTTGTCTTTTTTCAGCCAGACTAACTATGTAATACACAGCAGCACTGTGCGGTGACATGCAAGACCATGTCTGTTAAATATTCCCTGTTTTTACATATTCCATACCATCTGTCCCAATCACTATTCTCTTTCTGATTAGCTGCTAGCAACATACTGCTTCCCACTCTATTCCTTACCTTTTCACTGAAAGCACAAATATTCAATAGAACCAAACATACCAGTTAGCAGAAGATTCTGCAGTACACTACCAAAAGTCTGCATTGAGTATCTGTGCAATTTAGTACCCTCCTAAGCTGACAGCTTTAAGCTGGCCATACAAGGCCTGAATTTCAGCTGAATCAACAGTAATTAGAGCCATGGGTGGCCCTATCAGCTTCACTTGGGCTCAACAAAAATTAAAGTGTCGGATAGGAAATTCTCGGCCAAATAGTAACAGCATCCAACCAGATACAGTCACTGAGTATTCAGGCAGGTGCTGTGGTTGTCTAAAAACATACTATAGCTGGCAGTGTAGTTTCCTGCACCCATGCGGTGTAGCGTGCATGGGGAAATTGAACCCTGTCAAGTATATGTGGCTAGATTTAAGCCAGGTACACAAGCACCGAAAGTAGTGGGGTTCAGCAGGAACAGAAGCAGATTCAGGGTTCAGCAGATCAGTATATTCTGATGGGGAAAGGGGGAGTCCCTGGTGTCAGAATACAATAGCTCAACAGGAAAGACCCCTGCGCTGCACATCTTTGTTTTGATGCAAGGATCTGTCAGTTATTTGAACAAAAAAAAAAAAAACGGAGTGTGTACACTCAACTTTACACATCTGAAGATTGTTGTCCAATCATTTAAGAACTGAGATAGCTAAAGAATTTAACAAACTTCAGCAGACGGCCTCAAAATACAATTACAATTAGGCAAGAAAATATGACCTATTGTTCTCCCAAAACAAAAGTGAAAATTAGGACATCTGCTTCGCACTCATACAACAAAGATGTATCTTTTGCTTATCTGGAGAAAGATAACGCACTCATATTTACAGACATTACATATCTTTCGGTGTGTGACTGTGTGTGTGTGTACGTGGGGGAGGGGGAACATTTTTTTTTGATCAGCAAGCCAGCTGATTACAAAAAATAAACAAATTGTGTGGATGGAGGAATTCTCCCCGCTGTGCTATTGTAATCTGACAGCGGGGACTCTCTCAGAATGCACTGATCAGGCTGCAAGTGCTGACTGAGTGGAAATTTTCCAACATTCCTGTTCATGAGAAGCTGATCGACTGACCTGTCTTTAGCAGGAATGGCCATAGATGGATTGAAATACAGCCAGTCCCTGCTGAACCTGCCGAATTTTGATCCATCTAGTCACCTTTGATTTCGTCAATAATGACTGGCTGGTGTGTCTCCCACTATCCAGAGAAATTAAGATCTGATGCCTTATCTGGTCAGTTGGATGGGATGATATTCATCTCCAAACTGATTCACTAACAACTGAAGCAACTGTGCTTGTGAATTAAATTACTTCACAACTTGTGTTTTTAGTATAATCAGTACCAGTGTAGTAGAGTCAATATGCTTTGTAACCTCAAATATAAAGTGATATTAAAGGCAAATTAAAAAAAAATAACAAACATGTCATACTTACCTGCTCTGTGCCGTGGGTTTGCACAGAGCATCCCAAATCCTCCTCTTCTTGAGTCCCCCACTGCTGCTCCTGACCCCTCCCTCCTGCCAAGTGCCCCCAGAGCAAACAGCTTGCTATGAGGGTACCCAAGCAGGCCCGCTCCTGTGTGTCCATTCACGCACAGAACTGTGTCTTGACCCCGCCCCCTCTCTCTCCTCATTGGATCACTGGCTGTGATTGACAGCAGTGGGAGCCAATGGCTTTCACTGCTGTCTCAGACAATGAGGAATGAGAGTCCCTGGAGAGGGCTGGATCGCCATGGGGCTCAGGTAGGTATTAGGGGGAGATGGGGGGGGCTGCTGCACACAGAATGTTTTTTAACCTTCATGCATAGAATGCATAAAGGTAAAAAACCTTGAGACTTTACGACCACTTTAATTTTATTTTACTGTTACTTCTTTGTCCATAACAATGCTAAATGAAAATGTATACAGTATCTATGAAATACCCAAATTGATTCCTAGACAAAATTTGGGACCATAATTACAAAATACAATACAGAGGTTTTAATACATGAAAATGTTACAGACATGCATGCTTTTACATTCCGGTTCTAAAACAGGGGTTAGAAACTGACAACTTACCCACACACCCTTGCCCATCCAGTGAGTCTTGATACCCCTGGTAACAGAGGCAACGATATGAACCATTGGTGTTTTCACAAAACCCTTGACTGCATAGCGTGCTGTTAGTACATTCATCAACATCTGAAAATGAGACATGTTTTTGATCAAAGGACAAAACACAAATATAACAAGACATCCTATACACTGATTTACGACAAAAGTCAACAACAAACAACTTATGTATACATATACGGTAGCTCTACACTTCTTTCAATATTTCTTCTTTAGTTAAAGAAATATTTAACTCATTTTAACAAACCAAAATATTTTCAGCAGCTAAAATAATATAAAATGAAGGAAAGGAATATGGTAGGTTTGTCAAATCCAGTTGCTAGATCTATTTATATGGTCCCTCTGGAATGGAGGTTTGTTTTGTGCGATGTTTTGTTTTCTGAAATATTTATTACCGCAGAGTCAATATCTGGGGTGTACTGGAGAGACCACTGGAATAGTTTGACACCATAGGTCAGTAGGATGCAATATGGGATATAGGGGGAAACCAAAGCTCCAATTTAATGTGTCTGCATAGTTACAGAGTGCATTTCAGGAAGAAGAGCTATAAAGAAATTAAAAGTTGTATTTGCAGGTACCTCATGGTGTCTGGTTTAAGTTGCATACTGTGCTGATTGTAATATGGTAACAGGACTTGTGGATGAAGAAGGATGCCTTTTCACAAGAATGCTCCCATATGCTATTTGACATTAGTATAAAACATTTAATTAAGCTGGGCTAGAAACAACTCAGATTGGACTGTGTCCTGGCTCTGAGTGTCCCAGGTATAGCTTGATTCCCTCCTTGGAAATGGCTATTCATGGTGTGCAAGAACACCTAGAAGGGATTATTATTTATCCCTCCTACCAGACCAGGAGGTGGACAGAGATCACTATTTTGACATTGAAGTGTCAACTGCTGTGACATTTGTTGAGACTTTACTTTGTGAACCTGAAGCAATGAATGTTTTATATATGCTGAAGCTGTTTACAGAAAAAATAAAGGCAAGTTTGCTTGAGCTGACATCCGGAGATCGCCTGAGATTCATCCCTGAGTTCTGTAGATGCCTCTACCCCCTACTAAGGTGGTCCTTCCTCTCGCAAGCATTTTATTTTGGCTTGTTTTTGCGTGCTAACTTTTTTAAATGTATTAAAATTCTCTCACTCCACTAACCTCAAATGATTTTTTGCATGTGCAACACTGCTGCACAAAAGATTATCACCATGTTAGCCGCATACTTTGCAGCTAAATCATCTTTTAGCTTCAGGTGTTAAAGAGGGTATTTAATGCAAAACTGAAACGACTCATAAGTATAACTATGTACCTTAATATCTTTTGAGAGGTATTATATTTGATTTACTCCACGTAGAACATGGTTGGCTATGGAGCATACAAATGTTTTTAAATTAAACATATTTTGGTAAATGTTTTAAACTGATCAAATTTAAATTTACCTGTGTTATTCTATTCTGTATTGTTTTTTAGCGCTTAATTTGGTAGGTAATATAGAATTCCCCTGTGAACCATGGTTCCTGACAACTTGTCTAGCTACATCAACCAAAGCTGGGAAATTACTCTCCAGGAACATTCTCCTCCCTGTTGTCTCTTGAATTTCATTGTTTTCTCATACTTGTGTGCTTGTGTGCACACAGCTAAGTTTGCATTGGAAAATGTTCACACATATTGGTGCATGCAAAAACATTCTTTGAATTAGGAGAAAGCAAAGCAACATTTTTTAACATGCAAAAAAGAGTAGGACAATGTAGATCAAGATTATTTAGCCTGGTTATCACTTTTACATATATATATATATATATATATGTATATAATATATTTAAAAACTAGCCATGATCACATTCTCTGAGGGTTAGCTGAAACTCACGAAACTATAATTTTATATTGCTGTATATTACACAGCAATGTGCATAAATATTGAAAAATGTCTATATACCACATTTAAACTCTAAATTGTACCGTCTCTGTGTGATATACACGTCCCACTCTCCAGTATTTATTCAAAACATTTCAAAAGCCCCACAAAATAATGTGTTAAAATTGGCAGCACTACCCCTACAGTAGCTGTTAATAACTTGCACTTCTCATCTGTAGTCCCAACAGTAAGTGAACCGTGCTTACATAATGTGTCTGTTCCACAAGAGCTGTATTATTTTACTTGTTGTGCACAGAAGGATTTAAGATGTAAGACAGAAGTCTGCAGGAGCATCAAATATATTGTTTAATGCAGATAGCAGACCTGCGGTGAGAGCCTTTTAAAGGCTGAAACGTATCCACCAGATGGTAACAAGATCAACATTAAGTCAAATCGTTTCTTTTCCAGCAAATCTCTAGTGATTCTACAGTCAAAACCACTTCACAACAGTTCTTGAAATACCAGCCAGAATAGATAAATATTCAGCAGGAATTCTCTGGTCAGTGTGGCTGAATTCAGCTTGAGAAGCCGCCAGATTTTCATTGAAAAAAAGTGAAAGCTGTTTTTATTGGTGTTAGGGGTCAGCTTTAAATGTAGAACTTGCAGAGAGGTACTCCAGACGCCAAAGTGCGTTTAAGGGCTCCCTGCACGTGTTTACTTGTCTCCGTTGCATCACACAGAAAAACAAAAGAGATTCCCTTGCTGGCGTCTGAGTCAGTACAGTCCAACTTACAACAAAATATTCATGGCTAGCTGTAAGACAAATAGAACCTGCTTGGACCTGCAGGCCTGTTCCAGCACAGCCTGTATGCAGTCTATCTTATATACACACACACACCACCCTACACATCTCAGAGAATATTTAAATTTATCTAAAAGATGGGGAAATGGTGTAACCATTGGTTAACTCCAGTCTACCACATAAAATGTCAAACATCAAAGCCTATGACTCTGTCCCGGACCAAAAGGGGCTGTTTGTCACAATAAGTAACTATTTCAGTAACTTTCCAGACTTAAAGTTTGGCAGCGAAACATGGAGATAATAGCAATATGCTATAAGAAAGCTCCACATGCACTGCGATACCTAATATGTATGATGCAATAGCTATTTTTGTACAATGGTGCACCTAACATGTTTATTTATGGTCACATCTCCCCCTTTTAGGTCACCCGAATCACTTCCACTAGACAGCCAACAGTCGACTGGAGATATGTAAACACATATGTAAGGAGACTGTTTTCTGGCAAGTGCTGTCACTGACATAAGCCTTATGTCAATGGCAGTGTAAGGATTAATAGTGGTACACTACTGCAAAACATGTGGGTAATAGTGGTGCTTTGTAATAAAGACAGGCCTACAGGGGATTCAATTCTAGTAATATTATCTGTTTATTAACCACTAAATACTGAAATAAGCTAGGCAGACCTATTGAAAGTTCCAACAGAACACGCCTCATGCCCCTCAAGGATGAGCAAGTGATTGGTCCAAACTTGGGTTAGGACCACACATGGCAGGAAGCTGTCACCCCCATCCACCACCACCAATCAACTGCAGCCAGGGCATTCCCTGCCCTGCAGCTACATAGAACATTCAATCTATTACATGGTTGGATTAGGCCCCAAAACCACTGGGCATTCAGCCCACACCCCAGCACCTCAAATGCATTCAATGGCAACTCAATTACTATCTTTTTAGGCAGGAGTCCCCTAAGTGGGTGTGCAGAGTTAATAAATACAGGGCAACATTTTGAAAACCTGGTGAGTAAAAAGCACTCAAAGACAGACTTGGTAAGTAAAAATGGAATAACCCACGAGCATGTTTTTTTTCCATTTGAGGTCTTTTGTGTTTGTGAATGCCTAAAGAAAACCTATAATTAAATATGGAAATGCTAATTTAAATAAGTCAACATTTTTATTTAATCATGGGTTTCCACTTAATTTAACTGAACATAGTATATAAGTTAATTTTGGCCCATTCTAAGTAGTTTTATAGGTTTATATAGTTAACCTGTAGATAGCTGTCCTAAATCTGGCATACAAGTTTTCTCATCCACAATGTAAACAAAACTATATACATAAGCTCTTATTACAATGTCTAGCACAGAAAACTAGATATGTATAAAATTTGGTTTAAGTGTTAGAAAAATTAGAGACAGCTCTTCACTTCATCCAGACTCTGTGAAAACAATGAAATCTTTTGCACATGGATTACAAATACAGATGCGCTCATATTGTAAACAAATAATTTTCACCTGAACAATTATCAGCCAAATGTACCCAATAATTAACTCTGATTGACACACTTAATACAATACATTTCAAATGAAGTAAATCTCTGTATTGCTTAAAAAATATGGTAACTGCTTTGAGTTGGATGCTGGACTACCAAACTGTCAGATATGGCGACAGAAGACTAGAGAGACAGCAGACAAGCTATGCTTAGAGGGAATTGGAATTTCTAATCATGACAGCATTAAAAAAATAAAAAACCACAAAACTGCTGTATGAAGGCTATATGAAAAACATATTACAAAGCAAGTTCAGTTTTGTACATTTTTTATAACGTGTCTAGGATTTTATGCTTTCTCGTATTGACTTTGGGCTGACAGTAAGGGTGTTCCCTTGGACTTGAGGTTTCTTACTTTTAACACCTGGCTTCACTAAGCTGATTCTGCTTCATTTTTACAATTTTCTGGGAAAGATGTAGGGGTTTTTGGGGTAACATAAGGATTAAACTTGGACTGTGCAGTGTGAGAATTCAATTAGACTTCAGATATGTGGACACCAATGTTAATGCCGTTTGTGATTGCTGTTTTATATTTAGCATGGAACACACTTGTGGTCTGGATATAATTTAAACAGAAATAAAATTCATTATGAACCTTTTGTTTAAGACCTGGCTGTAGAAAGCCAAATGCAAACATTTAGTCAGTACTTACTTTCTATAATTTTGTCTTAAAGAATTATGTTCTATGTTTACATAGGGTTTAAATAAACAGTGCTGGCATATGAAAAAAACAATGCACTGCTGCCATAGACTTATTAATGGCATCAGGTCAGATTTGTAATGGTCAAGTGTTAATTTCCATTTATTATTTTCTCTTTTCTGCCAGTGAAAGTACAGATTCTGTAAATTTAGAACTTGTGAATACTAAATTAGGGAGAGAGGAAACACAAACTAATATTAATATGCTTTCATTTTCACAAAGTGGAATTAGGAACCAACAATCCTAATGCCTTGTACCCTCAAATATAAAAAGATAAAAAAAAAATCTGCAGCCCTACACTAAATCATCATATTCTTCCAACAAACCCTTCATAATAGGGGAACAAAAATCTAATTGTGACTATGATCAACAAGAACTTTATTTTCTAATGTTTCACAAAAGAGGATTGTTGTCACAATACATAGTATTTATGTAGAGATACACCCAGTCAGACAAAGAGTTACAACGATGTACAAAGTGCACTGACAGAAATTGGTTCATTTTAGGTCCAAAGTATCCAAATGGTGCCTCAAACTAAATAGTATACCTTCACATGATCTTCCATCAGGAGTTGTAGTAAATCCTTGCTCACATATGCAGTGGAATGAGCCAGCAGTATTGAGACATTCTCCATTTGGAGAACAGAGTTCTGTATTTTCACACTCATTAATATCTGAAAAGATAAATCAAAGAGATCATCACCACCAAATGTTTAAACCAGGGTTCCAAAGTTGGAAATAGTTATGTGCAAGCACCTGCAATTGGCTTTAGGTTATTACCTAACTTCTTGTAGAAGGACAAGAAATGTTTTCTTTGATATAAACTAACTTCCTATGATAGATAGATAGATAGATAGATAGATAGATAGATAGATAGATAGATAGATAGATAGATAGAGAGAGTAGGAGCTACTTGCCTCTCCTAGAATATTTCTGTACTGTTGTACTTCTCATGTAAGTAGTACTCTTGTGTTGGCCATAAGTCAGAAGGCCTAGGCACTTATTCATGAGATCTCTATTGAAGGTGCAGAATGGTGCAGGACAGATCATGAGGACCAAGTCTTGCGTTTCACATGGGCAGTACGGAAAGAAGACTTGAGAAGAATTTTCATTCCAGGAAAGAAATATCAGCCCTTCTATTACTCTATTTTGATCTATGCCAGCAAACCTGTTAACATAGCTTTTTTTTGGCATTTTAATTTAGGTCTACTTTAGCACTCTTTCAATGCCTATTGTACACCTGCAAAAAATAACTTTCCCCTACTGATTAATAAGGTCAAGGATAACTGCCGCTTAAATGCTACCTTTCAAACAGAGTGGAAACCCAGGAGAAGTATTTACAGTCCAGTAAGCAAGAAATAGCACATCTTCATGACTGCACAGTCACGCATGCCACTGCATTCCACAATACGCAATGACAATGGCATTTATAATATGTTGACAACAGAAGGTAGTGGAACAATGTATGTGTCTACAGACTTCCAGAGGTGACCTAAGACAAAGATCTGCTGCTCGTGCTAATGAAAAAGACATTCAATATGAAATCCATGGAATATGAAAGCGCACTTATACAGATATTTTGAGATCTCTCTTTGCCTACAATCAAGTAGAAAAGGCTTCCTCAACCCTCTCTTACAACTGTATGTGACAATCACATTCAATTCCAGTGGGGTTCTCTCTTTAGCCCTACAACCAGAAGGGATGGCAGTCCCACCACATTACACTTCCTAGTGGACCTATTTACATTATGCAAAGATTTAAAAGAGAAGTATGGGTTTAAAAAAAAAAACAACCATTTCTACTCACCTAGGTGGATGAAGCATTGGACTGATGCTGCATCTGTGCCCCGCTGGCTCTAAGACCGAGAACTGAGTGATCAAACACCACTGATCACTCAATTCTCGGTCTTCAGTTTGCAGGGAGAAAGTGACTGTCAAGTCACCAGGTCTCTTTTATGCCCTCTCCAGTGCTCACTCGTGTGCTGAGCTGTGGGGGGAGTGGCTGGCTCAGGTTCTCAGTGGTTTACTGAGAGGAGGAGCCAGCTGGCAGTCCAGGCATCTGGGTGGATCCCGAATGTAAAGTCACAATCTTTCCTGAGCCTGGACCAGCTGAGTGACGTTAGCCGACAGCAGGCTTTAGCACTCTGTCAGCTTAAAAAAGGCCACAGGAGTGAAAAAAAACAAACTGCACTCCTGTGATCCCAAGGAAAATTATAACAAAAATAGCTTTGGCGTTACTTCTCCTTTAACCCTTTTAAGGCACTGCTCTCCAATTTTAACCACTTGTCACCTGGCCTATGGTCAAATGACGGCCGTGCGAACACTTCGTCCCTCCGGGAGGGCCCGGCGGGGCCGCGCTGTGGCGAGATCTGTCACCAGCCGTGTACCTCGGACACGGCCAATGACAGATCTGTGTACCGGCCCCGTTGCCAGTACCATGTGACCTGCTGTGACCAATCACATCAGGTCACATGACAATTGTATACAATGGAAGGCTTCCTTTCGTGCCATTCATTGTATACAACTGTGTCTAGCTGTGAATGGATACAGCGATCACATGCACAGGCTGGGCCAATCACAGCCCATCTGTGTCATGTGATTAGCCGTGGCCAATCACAGCTAATCACGACAAAAAAAACCTGAATGAATCGATTTCATTCAGTTAAATGCGTGGTTATAGCAAAGAAATTCTTTGCCATAAGCAATCAAATTGTGTAAAAAAAAATAAAAAATACTGATCACTTCCCCAAAGTAGTACAATTTTACTATGGTACGAATGGGTGTGCCCCTGAGGCCGTTGGTACACGAAACGCGCTGGGTGGAGCCCTATTGCTGACGCCATGGCTGGAGCTGGATGAATAACCCAAAGCTGCCAGCATACCGCTGCACCCCCAGATGTGTGATGTGTATAACCCATGCGCATTAATACTTTTGTTCTGGTGAGTGTACACCCATCCCAAGGGTGGATTACCTTTCATGAGTTCATGCACTACTGTTCGTCACGGATAAACCACACGTGCCATTCATAGGCACTCTCTCTGATTTGGTACTCTCACACAAAGGACATTCCATTATTCAGGAATGATTATATGAACTTTTTTTAGCACCATTTACCATTTTACATCATTATTGCGCTTATTTGCACTTTTTTGACTTTACATGCCTTTAAGATTGATAACATGCATTTATAGCACTGCACTATTACTTTAACATATTTCTATTCTGGGACTGTTGCCAATACCTTGAGTGCTAGCTGCTACCTTCATATCTATACCTATATTTATATTTATCTTCTGTAATACCATTTTTAGTAGTCTATATAATTTTACCAGCGCCCGCTTTATCATTATTGGTAACATTATACTACTTTGGTCATAGCGCAATACGAAAAACAATCTTAAGAAAAAGAGAAAAAATGTAATAAAAAAAATGTAGAAAAAATTATCAGTTTTTTTTTTTTCGTACTGTCACCAGTCAGTGTCCCTGATGACCACCACACCAGTTATATACTGACACTGTACTGCACTGGTGATAGCATGTAAAATAAAATTGTGAAAATATTTTTTTAATTTCTTCATTTTCCGGAAAATTATGACAAAAAAATTACAACTTCAAAAAGCTCGCCATGCCTCCTGTGAAATACGTTGGAATGTCTACTTTGCAAAAAGGGGTCATTTGGGGGATATCTGTACTGTTCTGACATTTTTGGCACTCAAGAAATTAGATTGGCTGTCAGTACTTCAGGACTGATCAATTTTCAGATATATCCCATAGTTTGTGAACTCTATAACTTTCCTACAGACTAAATAATAAATACTGATTTGGGGTATTTCCACCAAAGAAATGTAGCAGAATACATCTTGGAATACATTTATGAAGAGCAATTATTTCTTTGCAAACTTTTATAACAGAAACAAAGAAAAAAGTGTGGTATTTTCACAAATTTTCAGTTTTTTTTTTTTGTTAATTTAGCAAAAAATAAAACCCCCCGTGGTGATTAAATACCTCCAAAAGAAAGCTCTAGTTGTGTGAAAAAAATTATAAAAGTTTAGTTTGGGTACAGTGTTGCATGACCGCGCAATTGTCATTAAAGTGTGAGAGCGCTGAAGCCTGAAAATTGGCCTGGGCAAGAAGGGGGTAAAAGTACCCGTTTATTGAAGTGGTTAAACTCAGGTGGCCAGATCATTTTTGCAATTTTTCCATTGCTTTTTTCTTTTTCTTTTACAGCTTTCAGACTTTGTAAAAGACCCCCAAATCATACTTTGTAAGTCTGAAAGTACATGACCAGTAGAGTAAAAGGAAGGTGCTACTGATTTTTAAGTCCCTGTGATATTTGCACAATTGATTATCGATGGGGGGCGGGGGGTAATTTTAGGTTAATAGCTCTGATCAGTGGCTTGTAAGCAATTAAATCAACACCATCAATATACTAATATACTGTAATATACCAATATTGTTGAATACAACTTGCATGACTTTACATATGTGAGATGCTCACAATCTCATAAAATTCATGAAGTCAAGTATGGAGCTAAAGATTGACGTGTTTTGTGACAGTGATCTTCCTTAAGATCCATTCAATAAAATATGCATGAATGATTGTGTACATCTCCACTCTATCAATCCATCTACTTCTAATCGTTGCTGGAGATGTGCAAAGAAGAAGTGGGTACCCTATTCTACATACAGTATTTTGGACATGCACCATAATTGCTGTAGATACTTCTGACACACTGCAAAAACTTGGATTTCGAACTTGTTGATAACATGCCAGTTTCAGGCCAACAACACTATCTCTTAGGACACCTCTTTCAAAATAGACACCTGAGGTAAACCAACTCACCGCCCACATCTTGATTACATCAAGATAGCTTGGTTACATTGGAAACACACTTCCCCCCTCAAAAAATATCTCATCAACCATATTAGAGAAATACAATCAAAACTGATCAAATTGTACAATTACCCATCCTAATGTAAAATCTTAATGTGTAGTATTAGGTAGACATGCTATTCAAAACATATCCAGCAGGTGGACACCCCCCTCTTTCCTCCTTCTAGTTCTTCTTCCTTCCTCTTACTAACTATACCTTCCAAAACCATACCCACCCCTAGATCCTTCCGCAACACGGGCGGACTGACCATTTGGAAACTCGGGCACTGCCCGAGGACCCGGGGTCAGTAGGGGGCCCCATGAGATGCCCCTGGTACCTTTTTCATAGGACTTTTTTGAGTTTGGGCAAGGACACAGGGGCCCCATGATCCCCTATTGCCTGGGGGTCCCATGAGTTGTTAGTCCGCCCCTGTTCCGCAACCTCTGGCATTCAGAAGACTCAACAATAGAATTTGTATACATGTTTTCTTTGAGTAAACATTCACAATTTAGATCCAGAGAAGACTTCTTCCCCTTGGAATATAACATACCTTTGGCTTCACAGTTTCCTGCTTTATGAAGACCTTTAGGCCCCATTCATATGTAGTGATTTGGGATCTCAGGCAGATTTGCTGTTTGTAATGTCAAATCACACTGCATTAGTGGCAAAACGAACCACAAGTGTTCAGGTGCAATTCATTTTCAATGGCACCTAAACATAGTGTGGCTCCTCTGTGATCACTGCAAATCGCATATTGCAAAGCTTGTCCTTCAAAATGGAGCAGGAGCTTATAGTGGTCGA